AAAATCTTATCTTAATTTTAGTAATCCTACTATCCAGTAATTAATTTAAACAACAAGTGGCGGATAACGATGATCTTCTGGATTATGAAGATGAAGAACAGACTGAGCAAGTGGTCGACGGAAGCGGAGATGTTCCTGCTAAGAAGGAAGTAAAGGGCACATATGTCTCTATTCACAGTAGTGGATTCAGAGATTTCCTTCTTAAGCCAGAGATTCTTCGTGCTATCGTCGACTGTGGCTTCGAACATCCATCCGAAGGTATATAACTTTTTTGTCATAATAGCTTATATTTTATCTTGATTTATTCTGATATTTAATGATGAATACTTAACGCTAGATAGGGACAACTGAAATTTTTCATGATTGAGCTCTACATATTTCTGAAATATACTTAACACTTTGCAATGTTAATCAAGTAATTTTTCTGTATGATGACAATAATAAATATACTGTTTACAGTACAACACGAATGTATTCCTCAAGCAGTTCTTGGCATGGATATCCTGTGCCAAGCAAAATCGGGTATGGGGAAAACTGCTGTGTTTGTGTTAGCTACTCTTCAACAGTTGGAGCTGACGGAGAATCAAGTCTATGTCCTAGTAATGTGTCATACTCGTGAACTGGCTTTTCAGATTAGTAAGGAATACGAGAGGTTTAGCAAATACATGTCACATGTAAAAGTAAGTTTCGCAAAATAATATATTGAAATATATAAGATACATATAGATCCTTTAACAAAATAAATAAATAAATAAAAAAGTTTTTGGAAAATTATATTAAAGAATCTTTACATTATTGATTAATTTGTACCACAATAATAGATATTAAATATTGAATGTTTTTTATTATAAAAATGTGAAAATTTACGATAAAATTTTTTTTGTTACAGGTTGGTGTGTTTTTCGGCGGTTTACCTATTCAAAAAGATGAAGAAGTCTTAAAGACCGTATGTCCTCATATCGTTGTCGGCACTCCGGGTCGTATCCTTGCTCTTGTACGGAACAAGAAACTCAATCTAAAACACCTGAAACATTTTATTCTTGATGAATGCGACAAAATGCTGGAGTTATTAGGTGCGTCTTTAATGGTTTATTAATTCATTTAAAATAGTTATATTTTATGAAAAAGAATTTATATGATGTATGAAACAATCTTAGTTCACTATGATGACTACATTTTCCACTACCCACTATTAACTGAAAAATTCTTTAAAATTTACTCGTTAAATTTACTTTTATATTTTATTTTGAATAACATCCAATTAACCATTGTTGTTACAGATATGCGCCGAGACGTACAGGAAATATTCAGGAGCACTCCGCACAGTAAGCAAGTCATGATGTTCAGTGCCACGCTGTCCAAGGAGATACGTCCTGTCTGCAAAAAGTTTATGCAAGATGTAATTACATAATCTTCCTCCTCACTACGATCTACGATTGCTCCTACTTCGCTGGCGCATTCGTGTCCAGGACAAAGCTCAGCCCATGCTATAAATATCATTGTCGGCGCATCCGCGGGTTAGGCAACTTATACGCCACTTCGAGGAACCGAATATCGAATTAGAAAAAAAAATGAATCTCGTTCGATACTCTTTCATAAACGGCATAATCGTATGGTCGACACTCATGTCCGACATAATATCTCGCTGTTTTTTCTGATTCTGAATCTAAACTTTCGGATGTGTCATCATCTGCATACACGTACAGAAGGGAAGAATATTTACCTAAAATTAATTCTCTTCGTCCATGCTCGATACAATATTCGAAAGATCTAAGTTAGAAATTTCAATCAATGATAAAGTCCTTCAATTTGCTAGTTGCTATGCAAGGGACAACACAATAAAAATATCGATATGTCAGGCAATATAATGGGAAAACAAAGGGTAGGGATAAAAAAATATTTCCACATTTTTATGGGGATAATCGTCACGATTAGGATAGAATTAGAATCTGTATGATACCTTTGCAATTGTGGGTGGGGGGCCAAGAAGACTTCAAGACAACCTGAAGACAGAAGAGCGCAAGAAAGAAGATGCAAGAGGATTCTCAGGGGGATGATTAGGATGATTAGCTAGGGGAAAAAAAAAAATATAAAACATAGCGTAGCTTAACTCTATCGTGTTCGCGTTCATTCAATCGCAAATTAAAAGTCTATTATGTTAAAGTTTTCTTATCACACGTAAAGATTCAATTGCATGGCTATTTAGTACGAGTGAAGTCAACGAGGACGCAAGTGTCATGCAATAAATCGAGCAATTTTGCATTGTAGAGGGCCGATAGAGTCACGCGAAAAAGTTGAGACACGTGTCTCCGTGTATCGTGATTACGTTTTTCATTTTGCGCGAGTGAAGTCGGGTCGCGACTTAGCAGATTACCAGAGGTGAAATGCCGAGAGTCTATGCCAACCTATAATACGAATCAGTTCTGGGCATCTTCTTAATGTGCCAGAAATTTTGGAGAAGAGATTTTGGCATCGAGTGGCCAGCGGATGTGATCGAACGTTCTGTCATGACTGCGCCTTCTTAAGTTCAATTGGGGCGAACTGCTGAGTTTTCGTTGTTGGCACTACCCAGAGATGGAAGTCGCCGGACCGTATGTAATCTAAGACTAATCCCGATCGACGATCATGAAGTTTACTCCGTAAACGAAATACAGAGGTCTCTCGTGAGACTTTCGATGCTTACGGATGTACACGGTAACTTAACGAATATCTAACGCCATTTCCGAAGGAAGAGAAAAAATACTCGGAAGTACATTTAAAAAAGGAAAGACTTAGTTTTAACTTTATCTTTCTTTCTTTTGTGTCGCTTAAAGATACATATCTTAAGAACGCTTAAAGATACACATCTTAAAAACGCAAAATTTTCATTTTTGCAAAACTTACAAAAAATGACAATTAAACTTTGTTTTTATTGATTTGTAAACGGACATCCCTTCACCATACATTCGCATGCTTTTTAGACGGAGAAATGACCGTACATCGGAAACAGACGCAAAACTTTTGTAGCCTGAGAATTATCGTAGGCATTATAATTTATTCTATAGATTTGTTTGTTTTATGAAAGAATGTTCTTTGTGCAGCCCATGGAGGTCTATGTCGACGACGAAGCAAAGCTCACCTTGAATGGTCTCCAGCAACATTACGTTAAATTGAAGGAGAACGAGAAGAACAAGAAGTTATTTGAACTACTCGATGTTCTTGAATTTAATCAGGTTTGTTTGCAAAATAGGGCAATCTACAAGTGGATGTGCACTTTCCTTACCGCGGAGAATCTTTACATGATGATGCAACAATTTTCTTATATTACTGTGACGACTATCTTATCACTACTCACCAATTCTGATGAAGATTCTTCCAAGTATTTATTGAAAGAAATGATTTACATAATTCATTTAACGAATCTATATTTAGTGATAATGATGTAAAATATCAAATTAGAGATAACTCATTATGCAACTTATCTTTTGCTTTACATAGGTTGTCATATTTGTGAAGTCTGTACAAAGATGTATGGCTTTAGCGCAACTATTGACGGAACAGAATTTTCCTGCAATTGGAATTCACCGCGGCATGACGCAAGAAGAGCGACTGTCCAGATATCAACAGTTCAAAGATTTTCAAAAAGTAAATAGTCCCTGTATCAGGTCTTATAAAATTCAATATGTTTGTACACATTTAGAAATGTGTAAATTTGTAAATTCTTGAACCATATATAAGTATGAAGTTGTATTGCAAAACAAGTAACATTTTCAGCGTATATTGGTGGCGACGAACTTGTTTGGACGAGGTATGGATATAGAACGTGTAAACATTGTATTCAACTATGATATGCCAGAAGACTCCGACACATATCTGCATAGAGTGGCACGCGCTGGTCGTTTTGGTACAAAGGTAATAATTTACGATTTGGGGTTGATTTATAGCATTTTTCATAATTCAAATGAATAAATTCATTAAAAATTTATCATATTTACTTATTTGGAAATATTTCTTTAGGGTCTTGCCATCACATTAGTAAGCGATGAAAGCGATGCTAAGATTTTGAATGATGTTCAAGAAAGGTTTGACGTAAATATCACAGAATTACCGGACGAAATTGATCTAGCTTCATACAGTAAGTTTCACTTTTCAA